GCTTATGGAATGCGCTGATTGGGTTGCCATTGACCTGGTGTCTGAATCACATATATTAAAACGTCAGTCATACATTATGCGGTTTATAGTGAGACTCTAGTGAGTACCTCGCGTACAATGTATACCAGTAAGTTGTTTGTTGGAAAGTTGTGTTCCAAAAGTAGAATATCTGCGACCGATCAAAGGAGTGAATCGTTATTGTCGCAGCAGACCCGTTGGACGGGCTGACACTCACTATGTAACGGTATTTATAAGTTATTGTTACACTTCTCTCGCAACCTCTTGAGTTGCTTTTGCCATCGAACCCTTTCGGGTTCGTGCGGTTTTTCTTTCTGAGAGGCATGCTGAACGGCGTGATTCTTGTTTTCTCTCACCCACCCTTACCAGCCGGTTTATTTCCGAGACACACAAGTGATTCACGCGATTAATGGACGACCTGGTTTGTTTACTGCAAGAGGGTTTACGTTGTCCTCCGCAAGTAAATCTTTGAGTGCAGAGCAACGGGCGTATTACTGTAAGAATTTCAGGCGATGCCCTTTTCGAATAGGCTAGACATTAGTTTCATTCTTCATTTCATGACTCAGGGAAGTCAGCCATGGCTTTAACCAAAGTTTCCTTTAAAGGTGGCATAAGTACAGTATTTCGAAGAAATCGTCGCAAATTGGGGTTCTTCCTTGCGTTTAAATCTGAAGTCACCTGTTAATCAGATTATAGTACGTAGCCACCTTCTAACGCTGACTTTTAATATTTCTTACATTCCAGACAGACGGCTAGCGTGATTCGGTCGTTCACGGTGAGGCAAGGGTGCCTCACTGGTATGTCAGCTGTCGAAGTTGGAATCCGAAAATGGACGGCGGGAAATCGGTGGTCAACACATCACATGGCAGTGGACACCAAACGGACATCTGTTCCCGATTAGGAACGATTCCTTCGTGGGCTCAGTTAACACGTGATGATGTAAAAATGCGATGAATGGAGATGAAGAGAAAGATTATATGTTTTAACCAGCCTACAGGTGTGCAAGGTTGCTAAAACTAATGTTGACATACTCCCACGCATTGTTATATTCCACTAGTTTACTAATTGGCATACGGTACACGTTATCCAGATGTCTCTAAGCTTTCATTTAGAAGTTAGCGCAAGACAGGATCCATATTTTTCAGTTTTTCTCAATGCATACGATGACTGAGATTACTCTCAAAGCCATTTGCATCGAGAAAATGTAAGGAGGTTTGTGACCTTGGCGTGTATTGAACTAAAACTTCCTTTTTCTTCCAAATTCAAAAGAATCTACTGTTCATGTATGCTCCTAATGAATTCAATTAACCCGATTCAAGAAACATAAGGATGGCTTTTCAGCAGATATTTATCTGAATCTTTATGTTTGCTTCGATACATACCTATGGGCAGATCCACTTTTATATAAAGTTTGTGCCACATTTTGCATGCAAAGAAGCCACATGTGAATTGTTGAGGTAGTAAGTGTTCCTATAAAAAGTTTTTCAACGGTTCCAGTCATTGCCTTTAGATTAAACGTTCTTTACATTGACCAAACTGGATTTTTTCATTTAATTATTTAAATAGTATGACTGTCATTCATGTAGTGCGCAAAGCAACACTGCAATGATCCTGTACCTCAAGGTGACGAGCCATCTGTGGAGAAGGTTAGACATGATGAAGGTGTCCTCCCTTTTCTTGTGGGTGACGAGCCCTGTTTTCACGCTGTGGTCGTGACTATTCCTGATACACTTTTGACTGTTTACGACAAGGCTGCATTGTCGAGTGTGGTTATGAGTTTGTGACGAAGAAATGAGTTCAACTAGCATACTTTGGTCGACAATTAACTCATGTAACAGAGGAAGTCATGCTGAGATGATCTTGTAAGTTCCCATTTAACAACCTTGTAACCGTCGAGGTAGTTGAAGTAGTTGCACAGCAGCTATTCGAAACAAACCTATATAAATTTTATCATGAATTGCAAATTCTCCATGCTATTCACGAC